TTCATGACTTTTCTCATATGGAGTAGCCAGAGACGTTGCCAATTACCAGCGTTGAATACAAACAAAATAAAAACAAAATCACTGCATACCATAAACCAATTATTATGGATTGTAGAGGCGTGCCTTATTGCTATTTGCGAGCTATGATTGGTTATATTTGATTACATTTTTGTCTGTTTTGATTTAATTTCAAAATATACTAATTATTTATAGTATATACTAGTTCTACACGTGGTTTCATCCGCGTGAAATTTATAGTCTACGTGTTATTCTGATGTATAAGCTATGTTATTGTAAAGTTTCATTAAAATCCGTTCAGTAGTTTTTGCGTAACAAACATCCATCCATACTCACAAACTTTCGCGTTTATAATATTAATAAGATTGTTTATGAAATAGAGACTGAAGTTATATATCACTAGCTCTGAGATCCAAGTCCGTAAATAAACCAGTATCATTGGTTTAAATTCGTAAATCCATAAAATTACATTCTATTTCTATTAACATAAAGTCATTATGGGATGTGCATAGTACGCTTAGCATTAAGCCTTGTGTCCATATACTTTCAAGGAATATAAAGTTTCTAATTTAAACGAGGTAACTTTAAAACTTGCCTTTTGATACCTCAGCCATCTCGCAGGTGTCCTTCAGTAATTTTATCGAGGACATCGTACCTTCTTCATAAAAGAGTCATCATAGATTTTATTGACAATTTATTGCGAAAACCGTAAAAACGATACGGCGCAGGTATAAAGACTGTTGCTTATTTTTGGACGCGATTTCTTTTTTGTTATTTAGTCAAGAATGTTTATTTAATTGAAAAAAAAAACGTTATATTTCTAAAGTACGTAAATATTACGTATAGGTGAGGTTCCATATACACTTATATTTCTTTTATGTTAGTTAGTCAATAATGATTGTTTTAATTAAAAAAAAAATCTAAAAGTTATTTAAAATTCCTTTGGCAACGTGTAATAATTGATATATAAATCAATTTATATAATTTTGTATCGGTTAGATATAAACTCACTACCTGTCGGTTATAAACTATTAAGCCACGCCGCTCTTTGTTTCATTATTGTTTACATCAAAGAAAGAGTTTATGTGAGTTTTTGTATAATCTCCGGAACGAAAATTATCTGTTTATCTATTTTTTTGTAATTTATGATTATGAAATGGTTCACCCACATGAGCTAACGGTATCTGTTATAGGACAGTAGAGGATGAAGATGAAGTCATGTCTGTTAGCCTATATTAACGAATTCACCTGAAATTTATAAGGATTTTTAGGAGGAAACTACGTGGAAGTTTAAACTATTACCGACAAGGAGGAGCACCAGTCTCCGTTACTACAAGTCCCCTCACCACTTAGATATAAAAAAAATTGATTTAATAGCCCAGATAACTATTACGATTATGTTTATCTAGGCTATTAAATTTATCCCAGATGAAGTCGGGACAGGCCACTAGTGCTTAAATTACGTTTTCATTATATCCAATCAACGGATGGCTATACATATTCATAGGAAACAAAGTTCATCGATCTGCGGATGGGTCGTGGAAAAATAAAAGCTATTTGCCCATGCCATTTTTAATGACAGCCCTTTGAATCTATAATGTAGTAAAAATATATGGAATAAATTGTCCATAAACTACCTTTACACGTACGCTCTTTCTATCGTTGTATGGGCGTGTAATACATAAGAATTAAGATCATATCTTAAGGAAGGTGTTACATATGAATGTGGATTAGTAGTGGTTATTAAGGCAGAGAAAGACCGAAAAAGAGATGGTTGGACTGTGTGAGAGATGATATGGTAAGAAAGGGAGTAAATAACGAGGTGACTGCGAACAGGGATGAATGGAAGAGAAAAACATATTACGCCGACCCCAAATAAATGGGATAAGGAAGAAGCAGATGATGACACGTACCTACGCTCTTTCACGCGCAAATCGCCCTTCACACAGGAAAGAATGAGATTGTAAATGTAGAAGAAGAGAACGACAAAGACCGCGCACTAGCTCGCGCAATCCCGTGTTAATCATGCAATTAATTATCATTACAAAATCGCTGACATCTGACTATAGAACAAAGACATAATTATAGAGTTATTGATAAATTTATAAATCTTAAACGTGTCTTTGGAGTATAAATTTGTGGAATATAAATATAACATTTTATAAGAATCAAACACATTACACATACACGTTATCACGCACGTAAAAAAATAGTATATGCGATCACTCAATATAGCGCGCGCAGGTTTTCCCGCGCTAATAATAATATTTTTTTATTTCAGACAACATGATCCATTGTATCCATCCATGCTAAACTAGGCTCTACCGTGGTCTGTCTTGGCGCGTGATTTAGCGCGTGCCAAAACCAAAAAGATCGTGTCGTGTAAAGGCAGCTATAGAAATAAAATAAGCATTTATTTCATTTATTCTTAGAATGTTTTCGTAGGTTAAATGGAATGAAACTCAGAGGTGAAATGGTCGATATACGTACCTCACCCATACGTATATTATAAATTCGAAAATATATCAGTCTGTTTGTTAGCTTTTCGAGACTAAACGACTGAACACAGCCGTTTAGTCTCGAAAAGCTATCGCACCGCTCGCCATCGACAGGGAATTCATCCCCACACGCTGGAACCTAAGTGGTCTCGAACAGTGCGGTTTCAGAGGAGCTTCCTCCCGCGTACACTTAGATTGTGGAATGAACTACCTGCCGAGGTTTTCTTGAGAGACTACAGCATGGGGTTTTTCAAGAAGGGTATATTAAGGTTTCTTAAGGGTCGGCAACGCGTATGTGACACCCCTGGTATTTCAGGCGTCCATAGGCTACGGTAACCGTTTACCATCAGATGGACCGTATGCTTGTTTGCCACCTAAGTGGTATAAAAAAAAAACACATCTTAATGAAACCTTAAAATTATTAGAGCTCACACACATTTCAGTTTTAGTCCCAACGGCCCGTGCGGACTATGACGCCGTTCGATTGGCGCATTAGCTACTAGCCCCGCCCTCTTTGGTAATGGACCAATCGAACAGTAATGTCACCACGGGTCGTCGGGTCAGAACCTAATAATATGAGTACAGGTTTAGAATCCCATATTTATGGCTGTGTTTTAACGACTGGGAGTGTTACACATCTACATTATCAATGCCACTCCCAGCAGTTAAAAAAATATATGGGATCTTGTCTTCTGATACGGGGGGCAGGTTTTATTACCTTCGGAAAAACGTGTCGCCTATTACAGTATATAAGAAATATCTACAACTTTTGTGAAAACTATAGGAACTCAAGAACATATATTTTTGTAGGACATTTTATGAGGTTAGGCTTTTATGTTATTTTTAGCAGTATAATTTTAAACATTTTGAAAAACAAAAACATATACATTTATAAGAAACATATGCGTGATCATGAATTTATTATTATTATCATATATTTATACAAGAATCAGGTTTAATGAAAATAAATAATAACAAAATTAATATTTATAAATATATGTTAAAGAATAAATAAATGAATATAATTTGAATACGAAAATGACTATTCAATAGTGCTTAAAATAAATATAAAAATATATGCTGTTATTTTATACATGTATAAGTAATTATTGATAGTTTAGAAAGAAGGTTTGAGAAAGAAGAAACTCTTATGGAATAAATTGTAATTTTAATAAAAAATGTATATAATACAATAATAATGAATTTGTATCCATCTTAACTTAAAGTAAGAATAGAAAATAATTTATTAATATAAACTTAATTTCAGCACTTTTGAATAGTCATAACAATTTTTTTTATCTACTGCTCGTTCAGAAAGCTGTCTCATCACACGAAGAACTAGCAAGAAACTTGTATGTTGCTCATATATGAATATTGCTTACATTCTATTCCTGATTCGATTGTTTATTTGGTCGCCCAACTCTTTATTTATTACCTATTTTACCGGATTTAGAACCAAGTATAAAATAAAGATGAGCGCCATATTTCCTAAACTTGGGATATTGATCAATCGGGTATTTTTATTCACTTAACCCTGTAGCCCGTACTAATCTTAAGATATTAATCAATCCGGAGTTTTTTTCTTCAGTCACGTCTTATTTGCAAATGGCAATACTGCCGTACTTAATCTAAATTTCAAATACATTCAGCTTATTTAGAAGTGTAGTTGGTATGTACCTCACGTCTATATTGGACCCTTGGGTAAACATTTGCCAGTCAAACAACTGTGTTATTGCGTGCCAATACCCACACGGATTTAATGAAATCAGTGTTGTTAACCTTTAAATTTATAGATTTCTATCTATGTATAGTTCAATATTGATACTATTTCACTATACCATTTTAAATATCATCGTGATCATCCGTTCCTCCACCGTGGGTTTTTCCAGAAACTTTTTGCCACGCAGCGCAATGGTGTTTCCGAACCGGTACGATATTGAAACCTTTAAGTAAACAGCTTGTAATTCCCCTAGTGTTGCAAACGCTCTTGGGCGGCGGTGATTACCGCCGATGACTGATTGATGATTGTCGAATGATTATTTACCATGAGCGCGTGGTGAGCCGCAAGCTCATTTGTCCCAATGCTATAAAAAATATATGTGGGGATCGATATTATTATTCTTCTTTCCTCAGTTTATGTAGAGTCGGCTCTCCTAATTATGTGGCGCTAGGATAATCGGTTCTGGGTCTTTTAATGGATGATAATGGAATAGTCCGCCTGCCTGCCCTAACGGTACGCTAGCTAAAATTTAACGAATTTTCCACGCAACCGAAGTCGCGAGTAATAGCTGATGTTTATACAAAAATATTTTTTATTTATTTATTCATTTATTGGCACACAAAACAGATTCAATCAATACAAGAATTTGATTAAGAGCGTGTAGTTTGGTACAAAACTGGATTATAATCCAACACTATGTATGCCTAAAAGCTAAATAATAAAGATGCATTTAATATATGTATTTCACTTAAATATTGTTTCAGAGCAAGTATTAACGACGGTACGTCCATGACGGAGGCGGTGGAATGGTACACGAACGCCAACGCAGCATTTCTCAGTCATCTCACCAAAGAAATTAAAGATACAGACAGTAGCACCATATGGAGGTAAATTGTTAATTTTTTTTTAATCTGTATTTTAACTAAAAATAATAACGTACTCTGTACAACTATTTATATTCTCTGTTCTTATATTATCTATGATTTTTATATCTAGGTTCCGCCTCCGGTTTTTGTTATTAAGAAATGTCCTGTTTTTGTTCTGATAGTGTATTAAGTATTAATTCAATAAAACAAAGTGGCCGTACCTACCTCGACATAGTACCTACTATAGAAGTTATAGGAGTCGACCACAACTGTGGAAAAATAATCATGAAAACCAGGAAGAAAACCGTGTTTTTTTTAATCAATTATCAGTTATTTGATAATTGTAGTGTATGATAATAATAATCTCAGGACAATTCACACAGCGCCATCTAGACCCAAGTTAAACTAGCTAAAGCTTATGTTATGGGTACTCAATAACTGATACATATACATAGATATTTTTTTGGAAATAAATACATATTATACATAGATGTATATAGTGTATGTACATTTTTATCTTAACCATAACTAAAAAGATTTCATGATTATTTTTCTAATTGATATGCCCATAGTTAAATACATATAAAACTCATAAGAAATAACACTACATACATTTTATATGATATAGATGTATTTATCATTCCTTACATCAATGTAGTATAATCCCTTGAAGTTTCAATCTAAATAGTATGTTATAACACATTAATGTCAGCTAGATTCGAATTAACGACTTTTCAATTTAAACATGATATTAAGCCACTAAACTAATACGCTCTCTAAGAAGACAAGAGATATATGAAGATAATAAAGCATTTACATTAAAACCCATTTATTCAGGACTCAGACAACCTGTCAAAATACAAGCGAGCTTTGTTCCCCTCTTCACATTTGATGCTTTAAGTTGGATTCATTAATTTAAGTTATGTTTTATTAAAATCACTTACTAAGTAGTCCTTGTTACATGCAAATATATTTATTTTATTTTACTTAAAGTATTAAATGAAAGATATATATATATATATATATAGGTATGTAAAATCAGTAAAAATAAATAGGTTTCGTTTTGTGCCACCTATACATATAATATTTTTTGACCCCGGCTAGCTACTTCAGTTAATAAGAACTGACAGGGAATTCAACTGATATATGATTTTTTTTAAATCACCATAGTGTATATTTCTAACAGATTTAATATATAAAAAAATATCAACATTAATTTAAAGCATATATTAAATATATATCATATCCAACCTAAACCTAAAGTTTAATTTTAATTACTGGTTGGCCAGCAATTTCTTCTGCGTCACATTTTTCTTCCCCGTTTTGGCAACAATTTTGGGCTAACAGATCTAACAGTAAAATAAATTTCAAAATTGCATCTGAAGTACGGGAGATTATTCCGTACAACTAAACTTACAAACTTTATCTAACATTAGTTCAGAATTAATTTATATTATATATCCAATTTTAATATTATAAACGCGAAAGTTTGTGACTATAGTTGTATACATGAATGGATGGATGTTTGTTACTCTTTTACGCAAAAACTACTCAACGGATTTTAATGAAATTTTAGAGTAATATTGCTTAACGTCAGAATAATATATAGGCCATAAATTTCAAATAAGTATCATATACGTACCTACCTACCTATATTTAGAATTGAAAAACAAAAAACAATTACATTTCATATATCCAGAATTTATGGTTTTATTTTAAGTGATAAAACAAATACTATTTGAATGTAAAATTAGTTAGTACATCGATACAAACAACATATCATTTCGGACTGAAAATAAATAAATATTTTATGAGTTCGTTTTATTAAGATGAACCGCTCCTATCGTTGCACTGGCAACGATGAATTTATGATCACTTTTATGTTCCATAAAGAAAATGAAATAATGTTCTAATTTATTAGTATACGCAACGTAAATATTTTGTTTACATTAATATTGTTTAAGTAATATTTAAGCAATTTCTCTTACCTATAACTTTAATTACCGTATACCATAGAAAAATATGGGTACGTCAAGTGATACGTTCACTACGACTGTCTACCCCATCAATACCCATTGTATACTAATGGGAATTAATGAGGTAGACTCACAATACATATATAATAAGAATAATAAAATAAAATATATATAAATAAATAAATAACCCTGAGCAAATAACACAACGCCATCTAGTCCCAAGGTAAGCAGAGCTTGTGTTATGGGTATTAGACAACTGATGTAAATACATACATATATTTTTTTAAACAAACAATACTCATAAATATAAATGTTTGCACCGTGCGAGAAATCGAACCAGCTATCTTCGGAAATAAAGCGGTCTGCATAATCGCTAAACCATCAAGGCTGTCAATCAATTCACTAATAATAATAACAATACTATTTCATATAATTGTAATAAATTAATCAACTAATAAATGTAATAAAAAGATGTTATAAATAAGTTCAGAATAAAAACTTTTTTATAGTTAAACAGTTGGTAAATACCTAAAGGTATTTTAATTCACTTAATTTTTATTTCACTCTCCTTTTGAGTTCAGTTTTACCATAAAATTATTCGGATTAAAACCTGATTAAGTATATTAATTAATTGTACTAATCGCATAAGCTTAAAAAATAAAATTTTCTTTATAATTATATCTTTAAAATTGGGCCTATGCCGACATTTATTTAAAAAACAAACAATAATTTATTGATATAAGAAAATACAGATGATACAGGGTAGATTTTTAACAAATATATAACCTTATATTTTAGTATCAACTCTATTTTTGTATATCAATACACTGATGGAATTCCAGGTATTTGGGTGTTTTGTTGAAAAATTGTGACAAATGTTTTCGATATCCTGCATTGACAATATCTTGTCTAGAATTATTGATGACATATCCGAATATGATCGCTTACTCATTTGCGAAATATTTTTGTAACTATTGTTATGATATTGTTTTGTGTCCACTCCTGTACGTCAAACTATCTATGTACATTCTAACGTTTAAATTAGTACTAGCCGACCTGCCCCAGCTTCGCACGGGTGTGGGATCCAGCCTGCGTTTGCAATCTAAGCGCAAAAAAATGTGTTTATTTACGAATTAGGAACCTCTAAATTTATCAGTGTTTCTCTATAATATTATGCATGTATTATACGTACATATAAACCTTCATATTGATGAAGAAGATCAAAAGCTGGTTTTTAAAGATTTAAGCATACATAGGGACGGACAGACAGTGACAACGACTTTATTTTATACTATGTAATGATATACCATATAAACCCATCTACTAATTTAAATGTCAGAACAACTGACCAATTCAAACGGGGATCGAAATTACGATGGCCTGAGCCGAGGTTCGAACCCATAGCGGTGCCCTCAGACTACAGTTGTGTCCGTCAGGTGGGAGTTGACCTTAAGCTGCTCCATAAGTTCTTCCGCGTTTGTGTGCCATCAGCACTCGCCCCCTATAGTCCGGTGAAGCTGTAAAGGCCAGATGCTGTTAACAGCATTAGAGTAGTTCGAAAACAAAACTTAATCTATAAATTAATACATAAAGCAAAAACTTCGTACCCCTTTTTACGAAAATTGCTCAAACGGAAAGTATGAAATTTTGTACAGTTATAGTTTATACATATAGCTATTTTATCCTGCTGTAACATTAGTAATGCAAATACAAGAAGAATAAACAAAAATTGGTAGGTGATCCTTTAAAAAAGAAATGATCGCAACTTTATTTACTTTCAAACAACAGACTTTTGAAAGCGAACAAATCAAATAAAAGAAATGTCAAATTATACTTTTGAATAAGCTCGAATCAAACTCAAAGTAACGGAAATGTATGTAAAAATATAGAAACATAAATAACGGGTGGATATGTGTGTAAAAATCCTTCGACATTGCAATAAAAATGCAAATGCCGTCGACTAAATGTAATCTATTCGACGCGATGTCATGCCGATGCTTCCTATAGGACACAGTTTCCTACATACATCAATATAATAATTGCAAATAATTATGGCTAGTAATACAAACTCTATATTACTAAGCACTGTCGTGTCTAAACTGTATATCCCCACCCTACATTTTTTTATTGTTATTTAGTATATATTTAAACTTATTTTTATTTAAACTTAAAATATGTACAACATTTAAAAAAAATACGAGCTGAGTTTCTTATCAGTTCTTCTCATCTCGAAATCATTCCGAACTGACGGTAGATTTGACATATCATAAGAGTCTGTAATAGACCTACATGAATAAAGATATTTTGAATTTGAAATTTGAATTTAAACAATTTATTATTGTATTATCGTATCAATTCATATTCAAACACTGTCATACATCCACTGCACTAACATAAAGTATCCCACATTACTATACAGATCCATAATCTACTTAATAATAAAGATACATACACCACATATATCATTAAATATCTGCGTCTAATTAATGTAATATATGTATAGTACATGTGATAAGAGAGCACTGATACCTATAGCACAGGTGTAAAACCTAGTTTAGGGTATCAGGGTCCTCATTTCGTATCGCACAACTTTCTGCCATTTGATTACCTAGCTAATGAACTTCAACTATTATGTACTCTCCTTTTGATTTTGTAATCTTGTGGTTGTACAAATAAAGAATTATATATGATCAATATTTTGTATGTACATTTTATCAGTCAATTATAATATACATCGTCTGAACCGAAAAACATCGTCTTATGTCTTATCTTTACAGCTACACTTCCATGCTATTATGAAATTTGACAAATCGTGCTTCTATGAAAATTTTCTACAACTAATTAAACTCGAGGAAATTTTGTTGCTATAATAACTAAGGCAACTAATTCCAACGTTTCACGCTAGTTCGTGTTCTGTAAATTAGTTTGTTTTACAATTACACGTAACTGAATAAATCCTTTTTCGCGTAAACCCACAGCTTATTCATTATTTATTTGTATTTTTTATTTATTAATTTTAGAAGTTTATTGTTATTTTAATTTATA